AGAAGAAACAAAACATTTGCATGTCGCAGTTGTCTGTCTGTTCCTGAACTGGTCTCAGCCAGTGGCAGTTGACCTTTACTGTTGGCTGTTTCCTCTCCATCTATTTAGCTGCAGCATTGAAGTGTTTAAAATGACTTAAAGCTGCTCAACAGTCTGTCCCGGAAGGCCAGTGACTGCAGTGGAGATGACAGAGGTGTCTCTGTGTGTATGTAGGTCTGTGGAGTATTGATTGCTCATGACTCCATAACAATATGTCTTATTAGCATCCATACACAAGCAGAGCAGAAGCCCCCCACTGTGCCCCACTTAGGGGGTTGCCATGACAACTGACTTTTCTGTCTGTGGTCCTTCAGTTTTTAAATGTTTGTTCATCGTGTGGGTGCGTTTTGGGCTGATGGTTGAGTGGCCCCGGGAGGCCGGGTGTGCATTAGGGACAGGAACTCTCACGTGGCTAGAGATGGCATGAATGATTATAGAGGCTGGCGTCAGGTTTTCCTGGAAACACAATCTGACAGTGTCTTCCAAAGCAGAAGATAAACAAATTACCCAGAAGAGGCATATCCAGATATGTATGGGTGGTTGATATTACTTGTTTCTGTTTTTGTTGTTGCTGTTTAGGCTGTTACACTAATGAAGCCATGGCATACCATGTTTTACTGTGATTTAACAGTAGAAAGTGATGGTAAGCAGCAGATAAGTGCCACAAAAGTTCAACAAACACATTTTTTCTGTATTAATGTCAACATGAACTCAAAATAGACTTAATACATGTTCCTGATCTTATTGTGCAAGATTTATTAGTGCATAATTATACCAAACAATTAGTTTTGTCGTTAACACTTTACAATAAGGTTCATTAGTTAACTTTAGTTAACATAAACTAAGGATGAACAATATTTCTACAGTATTTATTAATCTTAGTTAAAGTGCCCCTATTATGGATTTTTGAAAATTACCTTTCATGCAGTGTGTAACACAGCTCTAAGTGAATGAAAACATCCTGCAAAGTTTGAAAGTCTGAAAGTGCGCCGTGTATAAAGTTATTTTCTTTCAAAAGAAAGAGTCAACTCTGAATCACTGAAACGAGTCGTTTTTAAAACGAATCCCAAGCCGTTTCATGTTGAGGTCAACATGAAACATTAGCATATTGCCCGCCCACTTGTTGGTCTTTTCGTGTTGGTCTGAATGAAAATGCAAATTCATTCTTTGCCACTAGGTGCCGCTTTTGGGGCAGTAAAAATAGTTCCCCGGTAACGGCTGTAAACAAAGCAGCACTGCGCTCACAAACACTGCTTTATCAGGCATTACAGGCATGATGAAATGAAAATGAGACCAATCGGACCAATCACCGCAGATTAGCGTCACGCAAAGGAGGGGTTTGGAAAAATGAATCGTTGAGTGAATCGTTTGGCAGTCGTTGAGCAAGTAAGGTAAAAATAAATGCATATTATAAGACAATGAAAGTGTTTTTTTGACCTTGCATACATGTCAACCTGTTGTTGGGGACTCCCAAAACCAAAATATGAACATTTCATTACCCATAATAGGGGCACTTTAATGTTAATTTCAACATTTGCTAATGCATTATTAAAATCAAAAGCTGTGCTTAACTTAATGCACTGTGAATTAACTAACAATGAACGACTGTTTAGTTAACAACATTAACAAAGATACTGTAATAAATTTATTGTTCATGTTAGTTAATACATTAATTAACATTAACTAATGGAACCTTATTGTAAAGTGTTACCGTTTTGTCTTTATTACGTTCCATCATAATTGTTCTGCCATTTTGACCCAACAGTGTTTCGGGAGACTCCATTCCATTCTCCATTCTCCAGTCAATTCTTAATAGATAAACGAAATTGTTTTTGTTGAATGTGCTGTTTAGCTCAGAAATTCATCACATTGTGCTTGTAAAATTAGTTGGAGATGCTGACTTAGATTCCTTCCAGCCTAGTTTATCAGTCTGTAATCTGTTTATAGTTACCAAGGAATAAAGCAACACACATTAGCAAAGTGCTAAATTGCCCGTTCATTTGTATTAGTGGCCTTGTTCTGCAAGTATTTTTTCCATTAATTTTTCCATAGGGATTTTTAAAAAGTCTTCATTAAAGAGTTATAAGCCATTAGCCACAAGGTGAATCACAACCTTACAAACTTAGATTTGACGCAAAAAAGCATTTGAAAATAAGACAAAGATAAAGATAGGCGCGTGCCAATTCGCAAACGTATGTACTATTCTGAGAATTCAGAAAAGAAAAGGTGCACTTCAAATGATGGGATGATGCACTTAATTGAAAAACGAAGAGTGGAATGTTGGACACCTCCTGCACTCAACTGGCACAGCTTTAATTATGTAGCGGAGGGGGAGGAGCTATAAGACTATGATGATAAATGACAAAATAACCTTAATTCATTCACTACACGGTTGAGTACATATATATATATATATATATATATATATATATATATATATATTATATATAGTGTTTTTTTGGCGCATTTTGCTTGTTGGGATTCTCCGATTGGTGGAGATTTCTTTGCAGAATCATGAGTAATGTGGCTTTTCATCAGGAATTTATCTGTTAAACATGATTATTTAAAAAAAACACATACCATTGATTAACAACCTCATACCTCACAGCAGGTATGTTTTCAAAGGTTTTGGGGGATTTTTACTTCCAGAACCTGACTGTTGCATTAGAATGAATGTAAACAGCTTCAAATGTGGCTTAGCAAACCAAAATTTTGAGTTGTGTTGTTATACAAATAGTGGACTAGTAAAGCAACATTGACTGAAATTTAAATCTGAGCATCAAAATGGTCATGTGGTTTGACTGTCCAGGTGTTTTGTTCATACTTCCTCACAGATCCTCACATTTTTTAAGATTAAAATATAATTTACCAGTCATTAAATAGATTTTAACTGGACATTGGGTGAATTTCATTAGAAAAAGGTACTGTAGCAGTACAATGATGGCAGTACTTGTCATATATTCCCTGTGTCTTGGACTTTTAGTTTGTAGTTCTGTGTTTTATTGTTGCCTTGTTTCCCTGTTGTTTCCCTGCTGCTCTGTTCCCTTGTTTGTTGCCATGGAGACTCATTGGACCACTCCCATCTTCTTGTTAGTTACCACGGTTACTCATTTTCTCATTCTTTCAGCTCTGTGTATATATAGCAGTGTTTCTCTTGTGCTTTGTCAGTCAATGGTCTTACTACTTGTAAGCTGTTGCGTTGTCCTTTGTTCCCTGCCTTTTTTTTGTGTATGCTTGTTGTTTTTCTGTTAAATTAGCTGCATCTAGATCCTCGTTTCTCCTCGTCCTTTCCTACACGTGACAATACAATGGTACTCTGATATTTACTATACTATAGAAAGATTATTGTGTGATATATAGTAGATATATGTGCAAGGCTGTGCATGCAGAGACACACATATGCTTCATGCCTGGACTCCTCGCGGCCCTGCTTGAGTTAGTTAATGTGACAAATCTAAGTAACCGAGTGTGCTGTGTGGGAGGATGAGCGGTGGAGGGAAAACCTCAGACGTCTCAACAGTGTTCCTTCAAATACGCACCAACTGTTGTGGGCTGACTAAGAGCAATAGCTTTTAGCTGGAATCTAAACTGGATTAAGAAGACTTTCAAATAGTGTGAGATTAGATATGTCGTCATGTGTTTATGAAATTGATGTTCATAAAGGTGTAACCTAATCACAGAGCACGCTTGCTGCAGAGAGTGATGGTGTGAAGATGTGAATTGATACAGTCTTTCTATTGTCAATCTATATTGGCTACAAAGCTCTGGGATCAACTGCAGGTCATTGAAGTTAAAGGGGCGATAGCATAATAAGAGATACATCCCTGTGCAGTCAGCCATATCCACTAAATAAAGCTTAAAAGCCTCTATCAAACCTGAGTGCACATCTATACACTCTATAGAGGATGACTGAGGGCAGATACTTGCTGGTGTTTGCTAAGGCAACGTTCCTGGTTCAGTGACATTACTTATTTTTCGTCCTTGCATTAAAAATACATAATCACTTGAAAACACCTCTTCTAGCCCTACTGAAAAAAAATAGCTAAAAGCTGGTCTTAGCTGGCTTGGGCTGGAAGTAGCTGGTTGGTCAGCTGGTCTCACAGTCTGACCAGCTAAGACCAGTCTGACCAGCTAAAGAAGTGGTCAAAACCCATCTAAAACCAGTCTGCACACCAGCTATGACCATCTTGGGCTGGTTTCAGTTTTTTATTTCTAAATTCAGAAATTTATTTTGCTATTTTTTGGGTGGCACATAGTCAACAATGTCAATTAGATGTGACTGTCCTGATATGATATCGAAGAAAAAATATTTCTTTAAAAAAAAAATCATGTTTTTAACCCTTGTGATGTGTCATTTTGACTCTGAGAGGAGTTTCTTTTTCCCAAAAATGCTATTAAAAGTGTTATTGCATTGGACTAAAACTTAATGTATTTTCTCTCACAGGGTACAAAAACGTATTTGTTTTTTGTTTAGACTTTTTGGGAGTTTTTTCCCCCCACCATGTTACACTTTTGGTGCTCCTGGTCAAAAATGACTGGCCTACAAAATATCTCTTATAAATTTCTTATGTTATATTACCAAATATTGTATTCAGTCTTTTTCATCAACATGTTTCCTTTCAATTAGAACAGATTTTGTATTTCTTTTATGACTGATTGATTGCAAACCTCTTTAATCTGAGTTTATGCACCTCAGTAAATATTGGCTAAAAAATTGTGAAATTCATTACAAACGCCTTTATTAAGGTCTTTTTATGGTTTAGTCTGTAAAATATCAGTGTTGTGACTCCTTAAAAACTTTAATATTTATGGATTAAGAATTCACAATATCTGTACAAATGAAATGATAAATAAATAAATAATCCCAAAATTTGAATGTTTTTGTTTGTCTTTTGATATAACCAGTCAGAAATGATATATCTGTTATCTAATGAATAATGTGTTTTCTTGTGTCTCTGCAGGGCGAATATCGATGAAGTCGAGACTGATGTTGTGGAAATAGAAGCCAAGTTAGATAAGGTATGAATAAACTCTATTTGACATAACTTCATTTCATTTGATCAGTGTCTTCTTTGCCTGTTTTATTGAGATTGAGGTTAAGGTTTTAAGGCCTTCGTGCTCAGCTAACTAAGCACCAGCGCATTAGTGCCTGGATAAAGCAGCATGACAAATGTGCGCCGAGCTAAATCCCAGCTCGTACGCCATCATTTCATTTGATCAGTGTCTTCTTTGCCTGTTTTATTGAGATTGAGGTTAAGGTTTTAAGGCCTTCGTGCTCAGCTAACTAAGCACCAGCGCATTTGCGCCTAGATAAAGCAGCATAACAAATGTGCGCCGAGCTAAATCCCAGCTCGTACGCCGTACAGGATTAAGGGAAATGGAGAGAGGAACCCATTTAGCACTAGAATGCTGAACATTTGCATCAGGGAACTGCAGTCATGCTACAGCGTGTTAACAGAAGCTTCCAAATCTACATATGAGGGCAACGTCTGCTCATTATTGCAGGTTCATTGCAATAAGAAAAAGCACAGACTTTTAATGAGCATGAAATCAGTGTAAGATGCTCAAATAAAAGCAAGGCTAAGATGCCTGTGTGCGTACATACACCAGCGTTTTAAAGGTAGCGCAAACTGAATGCATGATCGCCCAGCCCTTTGACAGACAGATATTCAACAAATAAACAGGCTAAGTAAGCTTTCGTTGGCTAAGCTAGCATATCAATATTCTTGAAATTTATTGTCGAAGGCCTTAAATTTATAACAAAAGGTGCTGCTTTGACGGCTGAAACAAAGACCATTCTTTTCAAAACAGCTTTTAGCATGCTAGCATTCACTGAGAATAAAGCACAACATGATAGAGTATAAAGTTTTATCTCTTCATTTGCTGCTAAAATTGTAAATAATAATAATAATAAAATAAATAAAACAACATTTGGGTTCTTGAGCTGTAGAATTGCATGGAATGTTAACATGTCGGTGAACTTTTTTGAAATCTCTCCTTTGTTAGCATTAGCCTCATACAAGCTGATTCAGAGCAAACTTACATATATTTTCACTGCCATATGTGCTACACGTGACCATTTTCACATTAGCTCATTGTGTATTTTGTAATTGGCCATTTATATATTAAGAAAAGAAAGAATTCAGCCTAGCATTAGATAGCATAGCATTAGCATTTAATGAGGAAACATAGCATAACAATTAAAATAAATAAAACAACATTTGGGTTCTTGAGCTGTAGAATTGCATGGAATGTTAACATGTCGGTGAACTTTTTTGAAATCTCTCCTTTGTTAGCATTAGCCTCATACAAGCTGATTCAGAGCAAACTTACATATATTTTCACTGCCATATGTGCTACACGTGACCATTTTCACATTAGCTCATTGTGTATTTTGTAATTGTCCATTTATTTAATAAGAAAAGAAAGAATTCAGCCTAGCATTAGGATAGCATAGCGTTAGCATTTAATGAGGAAGCATAGCATAACAATTTAGAGGATGACAAAAAGCGCATCAAACAAATCACGCCTAGTCTTTTTGACTTCTGTGGGCTCAATTAGACTTTTTTTGATATTGTTTTTAGGCCTGAACTGTAAAGGTTAAGTGGTTAATCAAAATTATTTTGCTCAAAAAATATAATCATGGTTATTAATTATTAGTATTGTCATTTTAAAAAGATTTTTTACATTTCATCAGAATTATTTGAGAACGTCAAATACGTCAGCTCGCATGATTTGCTCAGTTACAGCAAACAGCGCAAACGACCATGTGAAAAAAAACAAGACTGGCTGTATTACATTTTTTATTTGAAAAAAAATATCTCAGTAGAGATCTTTTCACCTTATCAGCATTTTTCTATAAGAAAGAGCATGGTTTCTAGGTTGGGAAGATTAAGTAAACTATTGGGCAGAAAATGTATCGATTTAAGAGAAAAGCTTGTTTTCAGGATCAACAACCAGTGGACAAATATTGTAGATGATTATGCTTAAGAAATTGAGAGAAGCAGAAATCGTGATCATGATTAAAATGCGACTTCTCTTGCAGCCCTAATTGTTTTAGACAAAAACTTGAATTGATTGGTTGTACTCTGGCTTCATCCCAAAACACGATCAATGAGAACAACAGCTTGTCTGCAGCCAATAGAGCAGATATTTGTTATGTTTGGCCTTGCATGATGATATTATTAAAGGATTAGTTCACTTCACGTTTTGGGCGAAGTGACGAACTGCAAGCTTTGAATGCTTATATCTTCTAAATGCGAATTTTGTCACTATTTTTGGAGCACACTGCCTTATAGATAACCTTAAGACTAACATATTGATACAAACACCCAAAAAACTTTAATTTTGATTTCATGGCGAAAAAAATGTATATACTTTTTAACCATAAATGCTCATCTTGCACTAGCTCCATGACGCGCGTGATTCATGCATGACGTAATCACGTTGGAAAAGTCACGAGTGGTAAATCCGTTTACTCCGGTTAAAAAAGGTCACTCAATCTCATTTTCTCCTCCAACTTCAAAATCGTCCGACATCGTTGTTTTTTACTTTCTTTGCACGTTCGCTTTGTAAACACTGGGTCGGTACGGGTCTTTCTGTCTTCAGTCGCAAAGAAATTAAGGTTTTTGAGGAAAACATTCCAGGATTTTTCTCTATATAATGGACTTAAATGGGAGCCAACGGACTGAAGGTTCAAAATGAAGTTTCAATGCAGCTTCAAAGGGCTCTACACGATCCCAGCCGAGGAATAAGGGTCTTATCTAGCGAAACGATCAGTCATTTTCTAAAAAAAAAATAAAATGTATATACTTTGCTTGACGGGTGAGAACCAATGAGGTTAATTCTCGCGTGTTATCTCATTTTCTCCTCCAACTTCAAAATCGTCCGACATCGTTGTTTTTTACTTTCTTTGCACGTTCGCTTTGTAAACACTGGGTCGGTACTTCCGCCTACGTCAAGCGTGACCTTTCCAACGTGATTACGTAATGGGTGAAGCTGAGCTAGTGCAAGAAGAGCATTTGTGGTCAAAAAGTATATACATTTTAATTTTTTTTAGAAAATGACTGATCGTTTCGCTAGATAAGACCCTTATTCCTCGGCTGGGATCGTGTAGAGCCCTTTAAAGCTGCACTGAAACTGCTATTTGACCTTCAGCCCGTTGGGTCCCATTGAAGTCCATTATATAGAGAAAAATCCTGGAATGTTTTCCTCAAAAACCTTAATTTCTTTGCGACTGAAGAAGACCGAAAAACATGAACATCTTGAATGACATGGGGGTGAGTAAATCATCAGGACATTTTTATTCTATAAGTGAACTACTCCTTTAACTACATTATTTTCTTTAATTGCTCCTTAATGTTCGTTTGATGCCTGTAAAGCAAGCCTGTTCTCTCATCAAAAGACCAATAATCACAACGCAGTCAATATATAAACTCAAGTCCCATCCACCATTTGTTTCTTGTTATCTATCCTATTCCTGTATATTCTGTTTCTGTCCATCAGTTGGTGAAGCTATGCAGCGGTATGATCGAAGCAGGTCGTGCGTACATCAGTGCCAATAAACTCTTCATCAACGGCATTCGAGACTTGTCTCAGCACTGCAAAAAGGAGGAGATGATCTCGGTAAGTTTCCCAGACAAGTGTTTCTTTGTAAATGACTCGGGTAATAGTCAGACCTTCATGAGCTGTGTTGATTTTTCAATTATTTGTTTCATTTCAGGAATGTCTTGAAAAATGTGGCGAGAGCCTTCAGGAAATCGTCAACTATCACATGGTAAGACGCGTTTTCAGACTCGCTCTGCATGGCCACATATCGCATAACAAAACACACATGCACACGTTGATTCATCATGTGTTATCATAACCTGGCGGGGCCTGTAGTTTTCTCATTAAATTGTTAGTGTTAAACCATATTACGTGTGCCATGGGGCTTAACTCAACCCAGAGAACATGGATCTCTTTACACGGGGTGTTTCACATCATAATGGGAATCGGAAATGTGCAAGCTGGATTCGAACTTGTGTTGGTCTCATGAGCACCAATGTAAAGTGGTTTGTACATGTGAAACCATTCATTCTAGTGGGTGACTAATCACATATATTGGTTAATCTGAGACTGAGTACGTCATCGTGCACGAGTTTTTGGGTGTTTTCCTGTTCCTGAGGATCGTGTAATTGAAAACAGAGACAGAGTGGCAATCGGTGTTCAAAGCTCAACAAGTCTCCTGTTACTGCAGCCACCTTCACTTTTAAAGAAAGAGGAAATAGCAGGGCTGTGGAATAAAGGACTTGTGGCTTTTTAATTGTCAGCCAAAGACTGCTGATCCCTTCCTGCTTGTAGCATCAGTAGCATTTGAACAGAAACAGTTTGACGGTTCCTTTAGTTTCTTTGACATTCTCGCTGCTTTTATGGGTAATTAGACTCAGTTTGTTCTTGTGATAAACAGTTTTTGTGAGACATGACTGCGGTGAACACTGAATTCCTGGACTTTACCAGAAAAACGTCAAGGTCACACCCTCAAAAGAAATTTGGTGAAAACCTTTCACTTCACACAAGTGGCATTAAAAAAACAATCCCAAATTTGCACAAAATTAGGATCAAATGCAAGTAAAATTGGCTCACCAGTTGGCAGTTTTAGGAATTTGAACATAATAAGAATATAATATATAAGACTATTATTTTATTTTTATTATGTCTAATTATTTCCTAATTTTTTACTGTTTTTTTAATGTAAATAATTGTTTGTTTGTTTTTTTAAGTTAAATAGTAAAAACTAATTTTACTATTTTGGACTTATTCCTGACACAGATTTTTAAATCTTGTTAAATAATAAAAATAGCTTGTAAAATTGAATAAAAGTGTTAAAATCATGAAAAATTATTATTTTTTAATTAATAATCAAAAATACATTTTCTTTGTGGTAAGAAATATTTCTGACAGGCAGTAAGTGCCAGGTGAAGTTAATTTTGTTTAGCATGGTGCTTACTGCTTGACAGTCTCGTTTCAGTATTATTTATACTATTATAGTATTAATTAATATTTTGAATTAGCTTTAATTTTTACATTTTCAGTTTTCATTTAAATTTTACTTGTAGTAATTTTATGTGCTTTTGTCATTTTTTATTAGTTTTAGTTTTTTAATTTCTATTTAGCTTTAATTTTTTATTTCAGTTTTAATTTTAGTCATTTTAGTACTTCAACTTAAATGTATTTTATTTCAGTTAGTTGTTCATTTTCATTAAATTTTTCATCTAATATTTGTATTTTATTTTTTATTTTATGTCAGCTTTAACAAAGTAACGGAAACTATTTTGAATACTTATAGTTTTAGTTAACAATAACAGCACTGCTTCTTGATTGTTACACACATTCTTACACAGGAGTGTAAGCAGTTCTCTGTTCATCCGTGTCACCCAGAACAGCTGTCTGTCTATGGGAGGAGCGACAGATGAAGCCTGTGTGCTGAAAGAACATTACTTCAATTCACTTATCTTGTTCCTGCCCTCTCCTGTTTTTCTCGGGTCAAAGCTGTTAACCTGCCACTCTATAAATCTGAAGTCTGGCCATTTTACTCTGGATCTAATCTGCCTGCCTCATAAATCCAGGACACCCATCGCTGCCAAATCCCTGGATGCTGTGAATCAATGTATCTAGATGGTCTTGGGCAGATTATTTTTTTTTTTAAATGAAGATTCATTGACACTTTGAGTTTTTGTCTCTTATACTTAATCCAATAGTCATATGCTGCAGACTAGGGCTGTCAAAATGGCTGAAAAACTAAATTATATATTATCAAAATTCGAATTATATTCATAATGCATTATTTCAGTCAGGGTGAAGAAAAGCTTTTGGCTTCTCTCCTGAGGCCACAAGAGGGCGCATCGAACAAAATATTACTAATGCACGTTTATTCAAAGCATAAGATAAAATGACTATCTGTGGAAAAAAGTGCATAATGTTTAAAATAATGTTTATAAACCAATTATAATTCATTAATACAACTATAAACAAAACAGCATCATGTATGTATGCATAGTTTAATACAAAGGGCGGAAAGCCAATCACACAGAGTACATTTTTCATTTAAAGGAACACTCCACTATTTTTGAAAATAGGCTCATTTTCCAACTCCCCTAGAGTTAAACAGTTGAGTTTTACAGTTTTCTAATCCATTCAGCCGATCTCCGGGTCTGGCGGTAGCACTTTTAGCTGTAGCTTAGCATAGATCATTGAATCTGATTAGACCGTTAGCATCTCGCTCCTATTTAAAACTTGACTCTTCTGTGGTTACATCGTGTACTAAGACCGACGGAAAATGAAAAGTTGCGATTTTCTAGGCCGATATGGCTAGGAACTATACTCTCATTCCGGCGTAATAATCAAGGAACTTTGCTGCCGTACCATGGGTGCAGCAGGTGCAATGATATTACGCAGCGCCTGAAAATAGGCTTATTGGAAGTTACCTAGCTGGGGACTATTTTCAGGCGCTGCGTAATATCATATTACTATTTGAATAATATCATATTACGATTAATATCATAAAATACTATTTGAACTATTGATCTCAAAGATGCTAATCAGCACATGGTTAGCTAGCACAGTTCTGAACAGTTGTACACA